GTGGACAGTTTTGCGGACTATGGCGGACACGGATAGGATCTCGGGTGACTGCGGACGGCTGCGGACAAGTCCACGGACGTTTCAATCCACGCACTGGGGCCACGGACAACTCATGGACATACCAGTGGACATGTCCTCAAATTGTCCTCATGTAGTCCGCAGCCGCTGTCCGTGAGCTCTGTCCGTCGGCTCATCAGGGACACTCTCTCAAAACTCGAACTTTTAATGAAAACCGTTACCGAACAGCACAAGTTTCATGTCCCAAATTTTAGAGTAAAAAAGCCCCGACAAATGGTTCGTCATGTGTGTCAAATTTTGGGCCCGGAAGGCCCTGTTCCCCTATACCGTCCCATTTGCTCGTCTCGGGTGTCAGCGCCGCAGGCCGAGCTATATGTGTGCCAGGCGCGTCGCCGCGTAACAGTGTTTTGTGAGATATCGCGAAGCCTTTTACGCGAGACGTGGTCTGGCGTACATATAGCTAGTTCAGGTAATAAGCCTTTACGCATACATAATGTAAAGTATAAATCGTTCTCTGGGTGCCCCTTTTTTATACTCACTTTGTCGAATTTGTTTTCTACAGGTCAATGATATCCTGAGAGAGCGAAATAAAACTGACATGGTGCTGTCGGAGGGGGACAAGCAAATTATGAGTGACATGATCTCTCTTTTGACTTTTTTCGAAAAAGCTGTTAAGGCATTTGAGGCTGAGAAGTACCCTACTATACAACATGTCATTCCTCAGTTCAAGGCACTACAGACAGAATGCCAACTCGCCAAAGCGGGGCGATTCCGCCGAAATTGCAATTTTGCGTCAACTGATGGCACGTCAATAAGGCATTCCGGTGAAGCTGAAATGCAGAAGAATGCGGGGAAGAAGAAAACGGAAATCGCTATGCATTAACATGGTGACTTCCGTTATTGTTCCTCGCATTCTTCTGCATTTCAGCTTTACCGGAGTGCTTTATTGCGCGAAAAGTTTGCTCCTAACATCACCATTCGGCACAAATTGGGCGTGTTCTTCACACCACAATTTAAGAGCCTTCAAACTCTTATGACGGTGGAAGAGATAAACGAGGTATGTTTGTTAAAAAGCTAATATTTCTCTAATCTTTACCTGCCATTTATATGATTAACATAACCGTTTAGTTGCACAGGTCAAGGCCCATGCACTGGCGCGGAGCAGGCGGAGATCCTGGAGGGGCGTGCATCTGCTTTGGCACTAGAGACCCGCAACGAGTGAGCTACGCGAGCAACGCGCTGGAGCCGCGCGCTGCGAGCTATTTTGCTCGTAGGGCCGCACGCCTCCTTGGCGGAGACAGCCTAGCTTTTCGGAGGCCCCCCTGCTCGTGCGAGCAAATTTGCTCACAGACCCGGGCCCATTGCTGCAGCATGCAGGTTCCCCTGTTCGCCGTCGCATCGCCGACGCGCACAGAAGCCACGAGCAAAATAGCTCGCAGCGCGCGGCTCTAGCGCCTTGCTCGCGTAGCTCTCTCGTTGCGGGTCTGTAATCGGCACCCCTTTCAACTCCTTCCCCTCCTAAGCGGGCCAGAACTACGGCCGAGTCATCAGACTCGGAAGCAGACAAGTACGCGGAGCTGCTTGACACCCCTACCCCCGAGACACCTAGGGACGAAGTGCAGATGTATATTGACCTAGCTGTTGGGTCGGTAAAACCTAAAAACTTCGACATGTTGAAATGGTAGAAAGAAAAAGTAAGTTCATAGTGCGCACTGAATTTCTAACGCTTTAAAATAGGCTCGCCTAACCGACTTACATGTGCTCTTTCTTAGGCCCCCGATTAGGGGTGCCTATTGCTTTCGCCCGAAAGTTTTGTCTTTTTTGGCTGAGCGATTAGCAAAGCCTATTACTCCATCTGGTCGAAAAAAACTTCGTCTGTCTGTCTGTCTGCACGTCTGTCTGTCCGCACGATAACTCGAAAACGAGTTCAGCTAGCGACCTGGGATTTTCAGGGTCGTTTTGTGTTATAAAAACACAGAACGAGTTCGGAGATGAGCATCCTATCTCCAAAATTGGATTTTTAAAAAATCAAAATCGACGGGTTCCA